TATAAACATCTGCGTGCCGGTTTTTGTGTGAACATGAGGTTTCATTTCTCTTGGATAAATGCTCAGGTGTGTGATTGCTAGGATGTGTGGCAGTTGCATGTTTAGTCTTTTAGAAATTGCCAAGTTGTTTTCTAGAGTGGCTGTATCATTTTACACTCCCAGTAGCACCATACGAGTGATCCTATTTCTTGGAGTCCTTGTCAGCGTTTAGTGTTGTCATAAAGTTTTATTTTAGCCATTCTGATAGATGCACGATGATTTTCATTGTGGTTTAAACTTGCATTTCCTTAATGACTAATGATATTGAAGGTCTTTTCACGTGCCTACTTACCATCTGTATGTGCTGTTCAATGAAATGTCTCTTCATCTGTTTTGCACTTCTTCTAAATTCATTGCTTATGCATTTATTATTGAGTTTTCAGAGTTCATTATATATTCTAGGTACAAGTCCTCTGTTGGACATGTGATTTGCAAATAATTTCTCTCGATCTGTAGCTCTGTGTTTTTATCCTCCTAACAGGGATCTTTACAGAGGAAAATTTTTAATTTTGAGGAAGTCCAGTTTATTGAATTTTCCTTTTATGGATCATGCTTTTGATATAAAGTCAAAAAGCTCTTTATGTAGCCCAGTGATTTTCAGCCTTTTTTATATCATGGCACACATAGACTAATTATTGAAATTTGGTGGCACAACAAAAATATATTTTTTACTGCTCTAACAAAAAATAGATACAATTTTGATTCATTCACACCAGGCAGCCATTGTTGTGTTGGCCGTTGTCATTTTTTTATTTGACGATGTAAGGGAAAAGAGGTCAGTGTTCCTGACTAAATAGCATGTTTTAAGAATGCTTGCAGCCCACCAGGTGCCTGCCACAACACACGGGTTGAAAATGCCTGACCTGGTTCTGGATCTTAACGTTTATTTCCAAAAGGTTTTTAGTTTGTTTGTTTTTTTCCCTGTTAGGTTTAATTCTGTGATCCATTTTAAGTTACTTTTTTGTATAAAGTGTGACACTTAGCTTGAGGTTTTGTTTGTTTCTTTGATTTTGGCTTATGGATATGCAATCCTTCCAAGACCGTTTGTTGAAAAGGCTATTTTTCCTCTACTGAATTACTTTTGAACTTTTGTCAAAATTAGTTGGGGTCCATTTATTTCTTTTTCCTTTGTTGCTTGTATGTTTGATGTCTGTCATGGGCTAAATTGTATCCTCCAAAAAAAGATATGTTGAAGTCTAAACATCTAGTACCTCTGAAGGTGAACTTCTTTGAAAATGAAGTGTTTTAAAAACTTTCTCTTGAGACTTCTTGTTTGATCCAGTGATTTCCAGTTTGATTCCTTGTGGTCAGAGAATATACTTTACATGATTTAAATTATTTTCAATTTGTTGAGATTTGTTTTATGGCCCCAGATATAGCCTATCTTGGCACATGTTTTGTGGGAACTTGAAAAGAATACTGATCCTGCTTTTGTTGGCTTTAAGATCCTAAAACTGTCAATTGGACACTGTTGCTTGATAGTGTTAATGAGTTCTTTTATATCCTTGATGATTTTCTCTGTAATTGTTCTATTCGTTATTGAAAGAGAGATATTGAAGACTCTAACTTTACTGTAGCTTTGTCTATTTCTTCTATTAGTTCTCTCCCTTTTTGCTTCACATATTTTATATTCACATATTTTGCTTATATTTGTCTCATATATAATATCCAGGTTTTTAGTTGCAGTAAGTGGAAGTCTGTTCCTCTCTTCCTTTTACCAGTTCAAGTGAAGTGAAGAAATAATTAATTCTCACATTCCTTTACCCACTGTCATGTATAATATAATTTCTTCAATGTTTCTTCTAAATATATTTAGAATCACATCAGACAGTGTCATAATTTTTGCTTCAATGATCAGACATAACTTAGAAAATTCAAGAGGAAGAAGGAAAGTCTATTGCATTTACCCTTATTTTTTGTTACCATGTTCTTTCCTTCTTCTTGGTATTCTGAAGTTCCTTCTTTAATCATTTCCTTTCCTTTCAGAAAACCCCCTTTAGCCATTTTCATAAGGCAATCCTGCTGGCAACAGATTCCGTTAGTTTTCCTTCATCTAAGAATGTTTTGAAACACAGCTGAACACAAACTCTAGGATTCCTGCTCTGCTTTAGTGGGTGGGGTGGGGCTGCAGTGTTTTCTGTAATGTCGACTGGAGTAGAGTCATCACTGTCCATGAAGTTTCTGTCTTGCTGGGCTGCCCTGTTCCTCCAGGTTTGGCTGACAGATAAGGCTTTTGTTAGGGCTTTTAAACACCTGTGCCCTTCCCAGTTGCTGCTTTCTTCTGCTCCAAGTCTGGAATATATGAAACAAATAGAAAACCAGGGAGCTCCCTACCTTGTTGTTCCCTGGCTCCTGAGGTCCCTAGCTGGTGTCCTCCGCCTTTCAGAATCTTCTTACATTTGTCTCATATATAATATTCAGGTTTTTAGTTGCAGTAAGTGGAAGAATGGTGTTAATACCATTTCCCTTGCTAGAGCAGTATAAGATAAAGTGCTACTGCTCCATCTATCAGAATGAGAAATACTTAATATTGGTTTACAACAGGATTTTATTGCACCTGGGATGATGGGGGTTAATTTCCTCTTTCGCCAAATCCGGATGAGACACCTGCCCTAAAGGCCTGGATGAAGGCCCATGGCAGCACTGCCCCTTTGTGGGAAGTGGGCTGACTTAGTAATTGGGTGAAGGTGAATAAGGGTTCAGCTGATGTCGAGTTTCCCCTGTGGAGAGCAGTGGCAAGACGCAAAATGTAAGGGCCCGCTATTGAAAAAGTCACTGAAGAAAGTTTTAAAGACAGTTGCTAAGAAGCCTGTCCTCAGGGGCAATGATTTCAAGGGGCCCCTAAGAGTCTTTTTGCACCCTCCAAGACTTCCTGAGAATCTGCTGCCCCATGGCTGTGGGCCGTAGGTAAAGGGGACTAGAGGGAGAATGGGTCTTGTCCTCAAGAAAATTTCTGGCTGTCGGGGAAGACTGGCACACACCTGGAACACAGGTAGAGGTTCTGAATTAGAGCTGAGAAGTGGTTGCCAGACAGGAGTAGCTGGATTGAGATGGGGCCAGAGGTTTCCCAGGGTAGCTTGTGGCAGGTTCACAAGGAGAGAAGGCTGGGGTGGGAGAGGGGAAGTGAAGACCAAGCGGGATGAGGGGCTAGCTGCGTGTTTACACTCAGGCACCATACCACAGAGCTGGCATTCACCGTGTGAACACTTGCTTTCAGCCCTGTGGTGAGCAATCTTAAGACCTGTGACAGCAGTTTGAAGTTCTGCAGAGACAGGTGTCTGAGTCACCTCTACCTTAACTCTGGTGAGCTGAAAAGAGTCCATTAGGGAGTGATTCTGGCTAGAATACTCAACGTCGTCATCATAGCACAGTTTGTTGGTCTTCACTTGTGCCTTACAAAAAAATTGCAAAGAGATAAATCCTGTGTGTCTAATGGAAAAAGACTGTAAAAATTGCCAAGTACCATTTCTGGTAGTGAAATTGAGACCATTTAAGAAAATGATTATTCTTAACTAGATGATAGCTGTTTTGTATAAAAAAAGAAGGGAAGGTTGAATTTGGCAATTGTCTGGTACAACAGTATTAGAAGTATAGTGTTGTTGTGTTATGATCTATACTACAGAATAAGGCCATAATCTCAGTGCAGAGATAGAAAACAGGGATTGGCAAACTTGTCATTGAAGCTTTTCAGCTAGTGAAATAATTGCATCTTTTATGGAGGAAATGACGTACTGTGAATATATTTGGGATCTGGGAATTGTGAATACTTTAGCAATGTCAAGGGTCTAATGAAATTTAAGTGTCTGCCCTTACCCTAGAATTGTGAACTAGGTTTTTATCTTATTAATTTATGACCCTGGAGTCTATCATGGTACCCAGGACAAAGTCAGCTCTCAACAGAAGTTTGTTAAATGAGTGGATGGATGGATGAATGAATGAGCAGGTGAATGGCTTTCTGTCTTGCTGAACAGAGAAGTAAGGACTGCACAATAAGACCCTTCTGAATGTGGGAACAGAGACCAGCCAAGAGAGTACTCAGGACCAGGGCCTAGGTTTCGTTGGGTGTTAGCATCCTTTGGGATTCATACAAAGAAAAGGCTCATGAAATGCTCACTGGCCTCAACTATCTTAGTCTTGGTCTTCCCATTTGTCAAATGTAGATCATCACAGCTCCTCCCCAGGTCAAGTGGATTAAATGTGCTAGGCGCTTTTTTAATGCTGTAAAGCATTGTACCAATGTGGGCCATCATGAATAGTAGCAATACCATTATTTTAAGGTTAAATGTAAGGATGGTAGAAAGAGGCAGGAGCAAAGTCAGTGTGTGCAGAGCAGCTGGCCAGCGCAGATGAGAGGAGAGCTGCCTGAGAGGCCGCGACAGGGGCTGGCAGCCAAAGGGCTGGGTTGGATTCCTAGTCCTGGCTCATCGCCCATGGTCCTGGCCACCACAAACACTGTCTCCAGGAACCCTGGGAAGCTAGACTGTGGTCTGTTCCTAACCACATAAAAGGGGTCCCAGAAGTAGCCCATCTGATGCTGGTATAGTCGTGAGATCTCTCACAGATGACACTGTCAATTAAAGGTCTCCTCTCTGTACCCCCGCAATCCACCCACTCCCCTTATCACTCCCTGGGGAAGGGCGATTGAGTCTGACAAACCTCCTGGCCAAGATCTTTCTAGGCATAATTTGGCCAGGCTAAATACCCCATGTTAATTAGATAAGACTCAAATTACACGAGCAAGGCTTGCAAGCCTATCACTTTGGGGCGTTTCAAGTTATTTACCTGGTATCTCTGAGTTTGCAGGGAGAAAATTATTTCTTGCTCCCAGGCAAACTAAGCCCACAAATTAGAGCAGTGGCTGCCTCTTGAACCCTATAAAGGGAGAGATGAAGTTCACAGACTGGTGAGTTGCTTCTCAGCTAAGGATTAACTTTTTATTCCAGATCTCTGGCCTTTCCAGCATGAGCCGCCAATTCACCTACAAGTCGGGAGGTGCCACCAAGGGGGGTTTTAGCGGCTGCTCAGCTGTGCTCTCGGGGGGCAGCTCATCCTCCTACCAGGCAGGAGGCAAAGGGTTGAGTGGGGGCTTTGGCAGTCGGAGCCTCTACAGCCTGGGGGGCACCCGGAGCATCTCCTTCAACATGACCAGTGGCAGTGGGCGGATAGGCAGCTATGGGTTTGGCCGAAGCCGGCCCAGCGGATTTGCTGGCAGCATGTTTGGCAGTGTGGCCCTGGGGCCCGTATGTCCATCTGTGTGCCCTCCAGGGGGCATCCCTCAGGTCACCATCAACAAGAGCCTCCTGGCCCCCCTCAATGTGGAGCTTGACCCTGAGATCCAGAAAGTGCGCGCCCAAGAGCGGGAGCAGATCAAGACCCTCAATAACAAGTTCGCCTCCTTCATCGACAAGGTGAGACTTCTGGAGAAAGCTGAGTGTGGAGCCCCTTCCTTCTTCCACCTTCACTGCCTTTGGGGGCTCCCTGTCTGAGGCAAAGGCAGAATACCCTCCCAGGATGCAGACATAGCTGAGGACAGGGCAGGGAAGAACTGGACAAACCCTGGAGATCAGTGCTGAGAGATCAGGGTGGCCAGAGGAGTGGGAGGAGCTAGACAACTCAGTCTGGGAAGGTCTCCTGGAGGCAGAGAAAGTGACATGAGCTGAGAAGTAAGACAGTGATGGCGTGTGAGACTCAGAAACCAGGCCACAGAGAGGCCCATGGCAGCCTCGGCTGTGTAGAATATAATAAGGCTTCGCTCCTCCTCTTACGGGACTCAGACCAGCTCAGATTCTGGTCAGAAAACAGACTCATAGCCTGTAATACATCCAAACTTTAAGGCGAGGCACATGGCGATCAGTGTTACACTGGAGTAGGAGTTCCCCAAAATGGTCCTTGAACTGGCAACATCAGTATCACCCGGTCACTCATTGGAAATGCACATTCCCAGGCCCCACCTCATGCCTACTGAACCACAAACTCTGGGAGTGGGGCCTGAGAACATGTATTTCTAACACACCACAAGGGTGATGCTAAGGCACACTCCAGTTTGAGAACCACCGAGGAACAAAGGGGCAGGAGCATCTTGGGAAGTAGGCTTCCTGAATTTTGGGGAGTAGAGGAAGCTGACCAAAGGTGACAAAAAAAGTAAAGTGGTCAAACCTGAGCAGGAGTTTGCCAGACAGAGGTGGGGGAAGGCCACTTAGGGAGAGGGAGCCGTCACATGCAGCATGAAGCAGCATGTCCCCTGGAGAGCAGGGGCACCTTGGGTTTTTGTGGGTGCTAGGTGAATAGTGGAAGAGGAGCCGGGCACATTGTGAGGAGCATAAAAAAGAATTTGGACTTGGCTCTGTAGGTGATGTGGAACCACCATAGGGTCTTCTGCAAGGGGATGGTACAATATTTGTAGGCTGCCACGAGAATGCTGGGAAATGCTCTGACATCATAGAGAGTTGGACATGAACAGAGGAGGGGCTGAGACCCAAGGTCAGCTGAGCACTGACCTCTGGCTAGGCTGGGAAAGACCATGACTGAGGAGACAGAGAGTAGACAGAGCACAGGCCAGGCCACTGGGGCCAAGCAGAGCCACCCAGGAGCATGAAAGCCAGTATAGGCCAGTTTAGATGTCTAAGGACTTGCCCTAGAGAGCTGGCTCGGGCTGACCACCAAAACTGGTCCATGCAGATTTAGACAGGTGCAGAGGGGACAGATCTTGACTAGAGAGTGATGATCTTAGGGGCTGCTACCAGAAAGAAAACCCTCAGTCAGACAAGGGGTCTGGGTGGGGAGGGGCATGAGTGACTTTTCTAAGGGTTGAGGCTTACCCTTTAGGCTAATGCAGCATAAGAGAACACAGCTCTCATCCAGGAAAGGAAAACCCACAGCCTCTCTCCTTGATATAGTCCCTGTTGATCTGGGTTCCAGGTGCGGTTCCTGGAGCAGCAGAACCAGGTGCTGGAGACCAAGTGGGAGCTGCTGCAGCAGCTGGACCTGAACAACTGCAAGAACAACCTGGAGCCTGTGTACGAGGGCTACATCAGCACCCTGCGGAAGCAGCTGGAGACGCTGTCCGGGGACAAGGTGAGGCTGGACTCGGAGCTGAGGAACATGCGGGACGTGGTGGAGGACTACAAGAAGAGGTGAGTGGGGATCCTGCACCCAGGTTGATCACCTCCTGGTCTGGGCTTTCCCAGCTGGCACTGGGACATTTGCCCCTGGTCTCAGGAGCACTGAGCTAGGTGGGAGTGACCCATCAGAGCTCCTCTGCCCAGGGAAGATGAGGGCCTTCTCTGGGTAGCTAGGTAAACTGCACAGAGGTACAGCCAGCCTCTTAGAAAACAGCAGGACTGTCCTGATGGGTGACCTCCTCTTGGGCATGTTCTCTCCTCTCCCCACTCACAAGGGCTCAAGTGTGCATACCCCACAGGCTCTTGGCACCTGAGTTCACTGCTTGCCTCTGAGTTCCAAGGAAACTTCCCAGCATGGCCGGGAGGTGGAATTTCTGTTGAGCTTCCTTTCTTATTTTCTCTGGTCCTGGCCATGCTTCTCCCTTCCCCAGGGGACAGTTCTGGCTTCCTTGGGACTTGTGCTTGGGGATGAGGTGGAGTTATGTCTAGGGGTGTCAGACAGCTGGGTGACACAAGAACCATACTGCTAAAAGGGACAGCAGTATGTTCCTGTGATTTGGAAACTGCGTGAGAGGAGGAAGAACCTACTCATTCTCCAGGCGGCAAAGGAAATCCAAACCCCAAACCATCCAGTCACCTGGCCTGGGAGGTTTGCTGCAAACCCCGCCCATGATGTTGAACAAATAGTTTTAGTGAGTTGGACAGATCTGTAAAGATGTAGAATAATACCTATTAAACCACACACACACACACACACAGACACACATACACCCCTGCTCCCCTGCTCACTGTGGGGCTTTCTCTTCAGGTATGAGGAAGAAATAAACAAGCGCACAACTGCTGAGAATGAATTTGTGGTGCTTAAGAAGGTGAGAAGGGGGTGCATCTCCTTTGGTCACCCGGGGAGTGGAGTATAGAGGGCGGAGGGTGACATCAGAGAAGAGACTGAGGTCTGTGCTCCCTACAAGGGTCTGGAGCTGAAGTGTCAGGGCAGGTGGAAGGATTTGTTCCTTGGGACATGTTGGGACACCTTGATGTTTATTGAGGACACATCACTTTGTTAGTCCCTATGTTTTGTGTAAATGAGCAGGAGCCTGAACCTGGACAGTCTATCTCCAGGTCATGCCCCCTTTGGCTTTAGGAACAGGACATGCTTTGAGAAGGGCTCCAGGTTTACCTTCTTGTTTCCCCTCCACCTTCTCTACTTCTTGGCCAGTCTCAGATGATAGATCCCTTCCTGTCTCTGGCAAATCACCATGGCTGCCCTTGGCTCTGACTACTGAATGGTGGACTGTGGGGAGTGTAGGGTGGGGATAGGGCTCCCTTCCATACCTTCTATTTGAGAAATAGAGGCAGTAAAACCATCCCATTGTTGTATGGGGCAGAAGGAGTTCCAGAGGCACCAAGGACTTGTTCAAGGCCTCACAGTGAGTCATGGGTGGAAGTCAGGTGCCTGCCCCCTGGGTCTTGACTCCATTCCCTGAGGAAGCTGGTCACAGAGTTGGGTGCCTGTTCCCAGGAAAATGCTGTCTGGGCTTGAAGAAAGACAATGTCGGGGGTCTCTGGATTCCCTTAGGACGTGGATGCGGCCTACATGAGCAAGGTGGAGCTGCAGGCCAAGGTGGATGCCCTGGATGGAGAGATCAAGTTCTTCAAATGTCTGTATGAGGGGGTAAGGCTACCTCACCCCCACCCCAATTCTGTCTTCTGGAAGGGCAGACGTGAATGAGCAGTTACTTACTCATCACTAAATTTAAGAGCTGAGGAGATCTCCAGTATTTGGATGCTGGGAGCTGTGTAGATCAAAGACACAAGTGACATCTATCCCCATTCCTCCAAATGATGTGTGCCATCAGTCCCAGCCTGACCTCCAGTGTCCTGCTGCCACATCCTCCAGGAAGCCGTGGGTCTTAAAGGGTTCCCACTGACCTTCAGCGGAGCACATTCTCATTTTTGCCTTTCTTCTCCCTGCCACTTGGGAAACTTCCTCAGGTCTTTGTCAGAAATCTCCAGGGATAGAAATGGGGAGTCCTCAAACCCTTTCTATTGCTTCAAGCCTCAGCCTGTTGGCCAAGCAACTATGGGCTCTAATGTCCTTAGTGTCTCTTGTGTGGTGTCCAGGCTGTTTCCCATCTAACTTCTCTACTTCTGACCAGTCTCAGAGGACAGACATGTGGGCTATTTCTTGCTTGGGCTGCTTCGAATGCACTCAGCAGCTTTTAGTGTCGTGTTGGAACCTCTGGGCTGGTGGCCTCCATTTTTATAACCTTTGGAAAATGCAGCTTCCCCTGTTCTAGGTAGATGGGTAGATGGGTATATGGGTTGGGGGCTCCTCTGCTGGGACAGGGCCATTACCTTAACACCTTCTTCTGCTCACAAAAGACATTTCATGCTTCCTTGTTTCCCTTGAAGGAGATCGCTCAGATCCAGTCCCACATCAGTGACACATCTGTCATCCTGTCCATGGACAACAACCGTGACCTGGACCTGGACAGCATCATTGCTGAGGTCCGCGCGCAGTACGAGGAGATCGCCCTGAAGAGCAAGGCTGAGGCCGAGGCCCTGTACCAGAGCAAGGTGAGCTGCACACCTTCCCAGAGTCACGTGTTCCAAGGCTTCTGGCCCAGGCCCAGGCCCATGACCCACAATGGCCCACACAGTGGCTGGGTCATGGCACTCTCCATGGCACTGGGGGAAGCCCTAAGGGGGTGAGAAGACAAAGCTCTGTCCTTAGGATCCACATAGACTATGGGAAGCCATGGGACAACACACACTGCTAAATGCAAATGAATGTGGCACAGTGTCATGAATGCAGGGGAGACAGAGGTTAGGAAACTAGGATCAAATGGGGCAGATTAGGAACAACTTCTGGAAGCAGAGTTGTGAACTGAGTCTGGGAAGGAGGAAAACATGGGAAGTTAGCATCTCAGCTCTCTTGTTAATTATAATAAATTAAGGGGTCTCTTCAGTGTGCTCTGAGATTAGGTCACTCTTACCTTTTCATTCAAGTCCAACTCCAAGAATAAAGGGGGTGTTTGAGTCCTTTAGATCTTAACTTCTCTAATGAGTTGTGGGTGGGGAGATAATTTTTTAGATAATATGGTTTCTCAGATCTAGATAGCAGCTTCCTAATTGTTCCTTGCTGTTTATCAGGCTCCTTCTCAAGGGAAATCCACACTCTTGAGATCTTATCTTGTCCACCTCCCCACTCCACCTCCCTCCCTTCTTCCTTGCTATCTTAGGGACAGAAAAATTTGGCCTGCAGAGCTGGGAGGAAGGGAGGCTTTGAAAGCCTAGGAGACAACAAAGGCCTGAGCTTCTTTAGATAAAGATTTCAATTCAAGTCCCCAGTCCCCAAATCCCTTTGCGTTACTGATGCAAACCAGGGTCTGGGATGGCAGTGTGACTTAACAGTCAGGAGACTGCTTGGTGTCAGAACGGGGAGAGTTAGAATGTCCTCTGCCCCAGTCAGGGTGTGGGAAGGGCCACTGTGCTCACACAGCCTTGCAGGGAAGCAAGAGAAGGCTGCCTGTCCTGCCCTAGTGTTTTTTGTCTCAAGATTATCCCCCTGAGATAAAAAATGGGAGCACAGAGAGAAGACCCCTCCCTTTAAGAGGAATCCTGAATCTAGGGCAATGCCAGGGCCAGATACGAGACAACTAGCGATGCCAAGCACTCAGGGACAGAAACAGGCAGAGCACAGCCACCAGAGGTCTGAATGCCATATGTTTTTGTGTGCCCCTTAAATCAAATTCTGGAGTAGAAATGGAATACTTTCTGTTAATTATCCAATGTATGACATCAAAGGCAAGAATAATCTTAACTAGTAGGTGACCAAAAATTCCTGACTAATCGTATTGGTGTGTAGCCAAATCTATCCCCACTACACATGCACTGAATGTCCTTCCATGCCCAGCAAGACTGCTGGTAACCTGGGGTCCAGCTGAACTGTGAAGGGAAGGAAGTCACAGAAAATACAGATGATCAGCCCCCTTTTTGGATCATTTATTCATCAATCGCACCTCTTTTGTGTACCAGACAGGCACTGCACTAGATACTAGGAATTCAGAAATTTAAAAATAAAAGGTCCCGGCCCTTCAGTCATTCTGAGTCTGATGATAAAGACTTAAAAACTTGTGATCACAGTACAGTGTGGTAAGACCTATGGACTGGTATGGCAGGGGCTATGGGGCAGAAGAGCACCCAACCAGGGGATCAGGGAAAACATCCTGCAGGAAGTGATTTTGTACTAACTGAGTTGGAGCCCGAGAGAGAACAAAGACTCAGAGACTTGAGAACATGTGGGACATTGAGGGAACTTGGAAGTGATGGGCAGGGGCTGTGAGGAGTGAGTTGGAAAGGCTCGTGGATGCCAGATTTCAAAGCACCTTGATGCCACACCAGGAGTTTGAATTTGACCTTGACTTTGAAGGGCTAGAGGCAAAGGAGTGCTGTAATTGGAGTTGTGTGTTATAAAGTTGCAGTGTGGAGGGTATGGGACTTTCAATAGTCCTATGGCCAAATCTAATCATCAGTGAGAACAACTGCACTTAAGGAAAACAAACAAACAAACCAATCAATCAATCCAATGGTTGAGTGGGAGGCTACTGTTAGACCTGGTGAAGTTGGGGACCCCTACGTACCTCTGCCACTCTCCCCACACAAAGACACAGTCTGCCAGGCTGTGAGTCAAGGTTCCTGCTTTGACCCATCTCCCTCTAGTTCCAGGAGCTCCAGCTGGCAGCTGGTCGGCATGGAGATGACCTTAAACACACCAAGAACGAGATCTCAGAGCTGACCCGGCTCACCCAAAGGCTGCGCTCGGAGATTGAAAGTGTGAAGAAGCAGGTGAAAGGGCTTTAGGGGTTCCCGACTCACTTCCAAGGGAGGGATAAAGTGCCCATCACACATACTCCCCCATTTTCTCCTTCTCTTGGTTCTCTATCTCAGAACCCCCTCCTCAAATGGAGCCCCTGCTTTCATCCCACACACTTAGCCCCCATCTGAAGTCTGGGAACAATTGGAAGGGTCTTTTAAAAAAGCCAAGGGGCTGAGGATAGCATCCCTCCCAGTCCCAGTGACAGGACTCCATTGCCATGGCTGCAGCTTTGCTCTGTCCAACCACTGTGAGCACATGGATGAGGGGGTATAAAGTGAGGTACAGGGTGCCTTGTAACTCAGGGGGATGTTACCTCCTGGCCCTCAGTGCTCCAACCTGGAGACGGCCATCGCCGATGCAGAGCAGCGGGGCGACTGTGCCCTGAAGGATGCCCGGGCCAAGCTGGACGAGCTGGAGGCCGCCCTGCACCAGGCCAAGGAGGAGCTGGCCCGGATGCTAAGGGAGTACCAAGAGCTGATGAGCACAAAGCTGGCCTTGGACATTGAGATCGCTACCTACCGCAAGCTGCTGGAAGGCGAGGAGTGCAGGTGGGTGATAGGAGGGGTCTTAGAATGTTAGAGCTGGCAGAACTCTTGGAATCCCCTGACTCAGTTTCCTAGAGTCTTGGGGAGCAGGCTGCTGGAGAGGCTGGAGGTGATTTTCACGTTACCCACAAACATAGCCTTAAACAGCATCCGATCAGATGAAACAAATTTCCTTTACAGTTCTCCTTCTAGTTTTCAGACTGGAGAGAGTCTTGGTGTGGTGCTACTATGTCTTTAACACTGCCCTGGTACTTGCAAATATCCCTATTAATAAAAACAATAGATCCAGGTTCAGTCTCTAGGCAGACAACGACATCTTGCCAAAGAAATTTTTTAATTGTTATTATATTTATTTTTACTGCTACTGTGTGTGTGTGTGTGTGTGTGTGTGTGTGTGGTAGTAGTAGGTTCTGGTTGTCTATTTATCCTGGTGATATAAAACTTCCTTTTAAGAGAAGTGCATTTTTGTTATAAAAAACAGAGTTAATGAAAAATAGTAGTATGAGTTATAGATGGTCATAGCAACACATGGGAGGGTGGTACATGAGGCACTGACATTGAATAAAACCCTGTTTTAACTTAGCACCATTTAACACACAAGAGCCATAGAAGACAAGCTACTGGTCCTGAAATCATAGAGTCCATTGGTGGCAACTCCTGATGCTCACATTTCCGCATGTACTTATTCAGGCAATAGCTTCTCAGGAATGAAAAAGTGGGCTAGAGAGAAATTTGGCAGGAGGGACCCTTGAGGTGGTGTTGCTACTGGGGTCTTCAAGGTTGCAAGTTCATATGTCTCTGAAGTCAGGAAAGTAGACTGAGGATGGAGAGGGAGGTGCTTAGAGGCACGCAAGTGCAGTTTATGCCTGGGCACGAGCTAGTCTGGCCGAGGATGTCAGGCTGTGGTGAGGGTAGCTTGGATTCCACATGATGGCGATTCACCTGTGCTTTTCTCTCCATGCAGGATGTCTGGAGAATACACCAACTCTGTGAGCATTTGTGAGTACTTCACGCCTCTTGGGAAATATTTTTAGTCCATTAACAAATACAAAGTAAGTGGGACCCCCATGAAACAGCTCCATTGTCATAATCACCTCCCTTGCTGAGATCTGGCTCTTCTTCTCCTGTGGAGTCAGCTCGCCATCACATTCTAAACTTTCACATTGGCCCAGTCCCCTCAAAAGCTCCCCCATGCTGAGATGAAACTCAGCTTTTACACATGTAGAAGCCTGGGAGCCGTGAGCAGGAAGAATCACATCTACTCATTGAGAATGGAGACCAGGCAGAGACATGCTGTGCACAATCAGTTTTAATGCTGGCCCTACAGGGTTCAGCTCGGTCTCCTTCAAGAAGAAGCCAGCAAAAAACTCCCCTAAATCAACCAATGGGGAAATTCCTTGAAAAAAAAAATTAATACTGTATTCTAAAGTTAAATGCATCATTTAACTTTAAAAGTTGGGCATCACATTTTCTTCAGGGAAAGCCCTTGCTACTCCTGTTTGTTCAAAGGAGGAGAAGCTGCCTCATTTGGAGATCCTGTGGGATCTGGGCTGCTTCTCCTGGTGCTTGAGCTGCTCAGGAATTGAGTGGGTGTCACTAAACTCCATGGCTGCTGTGAAGTGTTTGCTTAAGGAGGAGACATTTAAATTAGCTGGGACTGGAAGTCTGGAGGGGACTTAGGACCTCCCCTGTCCTGGGATACACACTTATTTCTCCCTCCATCCTCCTCAGCGGTCATCAGCAGCTCCACGGCCGGGACCGCGGGTGCAGGGGCCGGCTTTGGGTTCAGCGGTGCAGGCACCTATGGCTACCGGCCCAGCTCTGTTGGCTATGGCGTGCTCTCTGGAGGCTGTGTCACTGGCAGCGGAAACTGCAGCCCTCGCGGGGAAGCCAAAACCAGGCTGGGGAGTACAAGTGAATTCAAGGACTCCCCGGGGAAGACCTCAGCTCTGAGCTCGCCCACCAGGAAAACCACAAGATAAAGACAAAGACAGCGGGTGCCTTGTCCCGGCTTCTTCTGGACTCCCTTCTCCAGGAAATTCCTGTCATATTTCCTCTTGCTTTTCTTTGCCACTATCATCTCCTCTTTCCCATTTCCCTGCCTTAATTTTTTCTTAATGTAGAACCATTAAGAAAGACTATCCTTCTGCCTCTGTACCAGGAGACCTCTTAGCTCAGCCTCCCCTTCCTGAATCCCAATCCTTGTAGAGGAAGGTCTTTTTTCTCAAGAGTAACCCCAGTCCTCCTGCTGCCCCTTCCATGCTCTGGTTTAGGGAGTTATCTGGCCATGTGCTCTGTGGGTACATAAGATTATAGGCCTACTGAGAGACCTGTAAGAACTGTCTCCTGTGAGAACAACACCAGCTCAGGGGAGACACCTGGTTATAGGTTGTACCTTGCATTGTCCCTGCAGATTTTAATGCTGGGAGTACACCTGTATGCTGTCTGATCAGTGAAGGGATTCGTGCTGTCAATATGTGGGTTCTTGTCCTTGTTCAGACCTCACCTCCCTGCTTCCCACATCTCACCAATAAACTTATAAAACTCATGCAGCAACAGGATGCTTCTCTCAAGGGAATCCTTATCTCAGGCCACGTCTCTTCTATATATGGGGGTCAGTGACGTGGAACCTGGGGCATCTGAGGTACAGTGTATTCCACAGAGTCCCAAAGAACCTTTAGATCTGAGTGAAAAAGATGCTTGCACAACTGCCGGGCCCAACCTGCACCTCCACTGAGTGTTGAGATACTCAGGATTAATTTCTATTCCTCATCATCTGCAGATGCACCTTTTAAGTCATGCTTTTCTCAGGCCAACACTCCAGTGAATGGGCAATCTTTAAGAACATTCAGATATTCAGATGGGATAGGAAACCAATACTTGAGGCAAAATTTCAAACTGGTCAAGAGTTAGCAGAAGGCTAATTCCAGAAGCCTGAGTCTCAAGTTATGGCCGTTGTCCAAAAAAGCCAAAGATATATTCTCTTTAACGTAATGACCAATGTTCTTTTTGTCCTCGGTGAAGTTTAATTGGGTTAAATATGGGTGTGAATGTGTATTTGTCTGAGTTGTATTTAAACATGGGGCCACCTCTGTTGTATCCACCACTCAGCTTCCAAAATGCTCAGAGATTTCTCATAGGTCCCCAGGCCATGATGATGCTCTCAGGACATAACAGGCTACAAAGAGCAAGTGAGAGGCTGGCACACATTCATGCTGGGGCTCCTAGGGGTATCTGAACAGGATCACAGTGTGTCCAGGAGGAGTCCTAGACTTGAAGTCAATAGCTTTGAATTCAGACTCAGACTCTGCAAGTAACTGGGGGTCATGAACACAGCTTGCAACTCTTTGGAGCCTCATTTCTTTAGCTCTAAAATAGGCAGAACAATACTCCAGATTGTTGTTAGGATAAAGTGAGACAACATGAGAATGTCTTATGCAATGCCTGGTACAGAGTTTGTGCTTGATAAAGATTAGTGGAAACAGAATCTTGTCCTCCATATTTTTCATTCAAAAACTTGACTTCAGAAAAGGGAACTCTTGAACACTATTGGTGGGATTGTAAATTGGTGCAGCCACCATGGAAAACAGTATGAGATTCCTCAAAAATTTAAAATAGGGCTGCCATATGATCCATCAATTATACTCTGGGTATTTATCCAAAGAAAACAAAAACACTAATACAAAAAGATACATGCACCCCTTTGTTCATTGCAGCAATATTAGTAATAGCCAAGATATAAAAATAACCTAGATGTTTATCAATAGAAGAACTGATAAAGAAGATATGGTATATACATGCATATATGTATTCCCACATACAATGAAATATTCAACCACAAAAAAATAAAATAAAATCTTGCCATTGCAACAACATGGATGGACCTCGATGATATTATACTGAATGAAATAAGACAAAGAGAAATACAATTATAATCTCACTTATATGAGGAACTGAAAAAAATAAAACAATGAATAAACAAAACAAAACAAAATAAAACAGAAATCTACCATCATCTATCATGTACCTAGCATGTGTGAGTGCTGGGGATACAGTGATATATAAGCTTGGACCATGCTCTTAATGGAGACAGAACTATAAGAAATGTAACTGCCACATAGTGAGATATTGGCCACAAAAGAAGATCCATAAGAGGCACAGAAGAGAGTGGGGATCTTTGGCAGAGGGGAGTGTTCAAGAAGGTGGACAGGGGAGACAACATGTGCTGAGTTTACAGAGGATAAAATTTACTTTTTTTAATAGCCAGAAGCACTAGCATAGTGACAATAGCTCACAATTGCTGGGGTGAGAGGTGGAAGGTGAGGAGGGTCAGCAGGGGGAAAGGGAGGGTGCAGTGGCACCAGGAGCTGCGGAGGCAGGAAGCAGCCGCGTCAGAAGGGCCCTTTCAAGCCTGCTGAGGAGCTCAGATTTTGTGCTGTCGAGCTTGTGGGAGTAGCTAACACCTTGGGTGTCAGATGGACCCAAGTTTGAATCTGCCTCTGCCACTTACTGCATAATTTAGGCAAGATACTTCTGCTTCATAAACCTCACTTTCTTCATCTGTAAAAAGGGGTTAATAATAATAGTTCCTTGCCTTTCGACCCATATATCCCACTTCTGGGGATATATCCGAAGAAACCTGAAACACTAATTCAAAAGAATATATGCACCCCCATGTTCCTAGCAATGCTATTTACAACAGCCAACAGCTGGAAACAGTCCAAGTGCCCATCAGTAGATGAGTGGATAAAAAAAGCTGTGGTATATTTACACAATAGAATACTGTCCTCCTGCAAAAAAAAAAAAAAAAAAAAAAAAGAAAATCTTACCTTTTGAGACAGAATGGATGGACCTATAAATTATTATGCTGCATAAAATAAGCCAGTCAGAGAAAGACACCACATAATCTCACTTACATGTGGATTTAATCAACAAAATAATTTAACGAACAAAGTAGAAACAGAAGCATAGATACATAGACTAGACTGACAGCTGTCAGAGGGGAGGGGGATTGGGAGCTGGGTGCAAAAAGGTGAAGGGATTAAGCAAAATTATGTACATACAACATGTAGTGTGGTGATAGGCAGAGGGAAAGTGGAGTGGGAGGAGGTGCAAGCGGGCAAAGGGGAGAAAAATGGGGATGGAAAGAAGACTTGGCTTTGAGTGGTAAGTGCACAGTGCAGTATGCAGACGGAGACTTATTGAGTTGCACACTCAAAAATTGTATGGTTTTATTAATAAATTGAATTAAAGTAAAGAAACAAATAGTAGTTTCTCATAAAGTTGTCATGAGAATTAAATTTGATGAAAGAATGTATGAGATCCATTAATTCAGTAAATGGCACGTAGTATGCTATTAAACCACTGTTACTTTCCTCACTCTTGGTATTACTAGGATAGACTATTCTTTCAAGAAGCTAAGTGAGAAGGGTAGTAGAGAAGGTCTAAGAGTGATCAGAAGATTATGTGATGAACATAAACTAAGGATAAAGAGCACTGGCTATTAAGAAATATTTTTACCATCTGACTTCTGTGCTTGGATTCAGATAATTAACATTGACTGCCTCAACAAACAAACCCTGAAATCTCGGTGGATTAACTTCATAAAGAAGAGGTTTATTTCTCATTGATAGTCCAAGGCAGGTTGGGGCAGCTCTCCCACATGGCTCTCGCAGTGGGTATCTCAGGGACCTGGGCTCTTCTGTCTTGTAGCCCCACCACATGGCCTGCATGGCCTGCAAGGCTACCAGAACAGGGGGACAGAGACACAGAGGCTGGTAATTGTCTTCCCCTAGAAGTACCACATGTCAATGCCACTCACATTGAACTGATCCCAATCCCCCACCGAACCCTAAAGCAGGCTGGGGAATGAGGAAGAGAGGAAGGACACTTGATGAGCACTCGTAGTTTTGGGCCAAACTGTCCTCAGTGTAGATACTGATGTCAGTCACTAGCCTGAGAATTCTTTCTCCCTTCCATGAGCAGTGCTAGGGTGATGCTGGCACATGCTCTCGAGTCCAGGCAAACATCCTCCCTTTGGTTTTGGCAGAGTAACCCCGGGCATATTGCCATAAACCAGATCAGGCTGCACAGGATATTTATTATACTTAGATTTCCATTTTGTTGTAAGTATGTTTGAATTTGGGAAATTTAAGTTAATTTAATGGTGAAATGAAGGTAAATTTGCTGTGTTTCTTAAAGTATATTCCTTTATTTCTGATACTAGAACATTCCTCCCCTTCCTCCCCTTCTCTAATTTTTAAAAAGATAATTGGTTTATACATATATTGTATGACTATATTAGACATTTCAAAAATATTAAAAACTAGGGTAAAAAAACCTTATTTACAATTCCATTTCCTAGTCACTGTGTATGGAAAACACTGACTTTGGCAACCCCCTTGGTGCAGGTGAAAGCACTAAGCATATTAATGGATCTAAAAAGTCTTGCAATAAGTCATTTGTTTAACTTTTTTTTTAACCCATCATGGAATCCACTCTTATACATTTTTCCTACTTGATAGGTAATAATTTCCCCAAAATCAGTGTTCCAGGGCAAAAGAGACCCAATATAATAGGCAACACATTTGCAAATTCTCGCTTAGTGTGGTTTTCTCCATTTTATATGGCTGAGCCCTGGTGTCAGAGGGTGGCTTTCACCCAGAACTGCTGGCAGAGGTGGCTGCCAGGCCCGAGGTCACACAGTAAGCTGGTGATGGAGGCAGGTGCAATGAGAAGGCCTCCTCCAAGGTTTCAGCCACCTTTTGATCTGCCCACACAGCTGATGCCTCTGACACCTCGATGTGTCACTTCTGTCTCCTCATAATCTGAAAGAGAGGTGAGCTGTGGTCAAGGGTTGTGAGGAATTCCTGATTCATCCAGCTAGTCAACCACTCATGGGAAGATAAGAGAAGGTCATCTTACCTGTTCCCTAACCCTAGGCAGAAGTGGTGTGGTCCCAGATGGATGGGTGTCTCGGCTT